TTTGGTCTGTACTGGCGACCTCAGTCGGTCGATTCTCCCATACAGACCGACCTAGCCCAGTTAATAAGATGTTTATTATATGGCTGTGTCTTGTAGGCCAATTTTTTATATTCTTTGTACCTTTGTTTTTCTAGACCGGTCTAGATGCCGGTCTAGATGGGAAAATTTAGACCACTTTCAATATTGATTTCAGCCAATCAAATTCGTGAATTCGGTAGTTCCCAGTCCTTGTGAGACACAGCCATGTAATAAATGTACATACAAACATATAATTAAATAGCTGTTGGAAGACCTAGCGACAGGAATGAACTTCCCTAATGATAAAGGCCACCAGAAACTATATATATGAAAACGAGAACATAAATAAAGTATACATAATGACAGGTAGTATCATAAAACGAGTATAGTAAAATGCTACATGTTAAAACTTAGTGCTAACTAAAATTAAACAACAATCACATTGAATCACTGCTGTCAATAGCAAAACAGTAGAGTCTTAGGTCATTTTTCAACATAGAAAGTGATTCCCTTCTCCTAATAGATATAGGTAAATTGTTCCAAAGACGAGCAACTCTGGGAAAAAAAGACGACCTAAATAATTCTGTTCTAGCATAGTTAGTTTTGAAAGTTAGTTCAGCGATAAAATATGGGTATGTGATAACTGGATATTTTACAGGAAATAAACCTGTTTTGAATGATTTGGTTTTCTCTAAGAAATTGCATGGTACGCTGACGACACTCAATTGTACCTGTCTTTTAGTCCAAAGGAACAAACTGGCAAGGTTGAAGCCATGGCGAACATGGAAAAATGTATTAATGGTATCCACAATTGGATGAAAGATGTCAAACTTAAATTGAATTCTGATAAAACTGATCTGATACTTATTAGCACAAAACAACAACTGGCCAAAGTAAAAACTACGCACCTCAGTGTAGGAAACGGCCACATTACACCACGTAAAGTAGTTAAGAACTCAGGGGTGTGGCTAGACCCATCAATAACAATGAACACTCATATAGATAAAACCTGTAGTACAGCTTTTTTATCACCTATGTAATTTACGTAGAATAAGGAAATATTTAACACAAGAATCGATTGAAATTTTAATTCATGCATTAATTTATAGTCGTATCGACTACTGCAATAGTTTATATTTTGGGCTGCCAGACTATCAAATCAATAAGTTACAAAGAGTGCAAAATGGAGCGGCAAGGTTGATATTCATGGCTAGTAAATATTGTCACATTACTCCATTACTTTTTAAACTTCACTGGCTGCCCATTCGTCAACTTATTTTATTTAAGATCCTTCTGATCACGTGTAAGGCTGTACATGGGCTTGCGCCTAATTATATACTAGAATTAATGAAGTTAAAGACCCCAGGAAGGTGCAGATTACGATCTTGTAAGGACGATCTATTACTGGAATTACCAAAAGGGAAGATGTACTCCACACTCGGTGACCGATCTTTTCAAACAGCCTCACCAAAACTTTGGAATGTTGTTCCATATTATATTATAAATTCAAAATCGTTGAATCTTTTTAAAAAATATTTAAAGACGTATTATTTTATTTAAAGAAGCTTTTAGTTGTTAAATATCGAATTACATTAGATTAGATTATATATATATATTGTACTTAAACTACACTATTCATTTTTAGATATTTTATTGACATATGTTAAGCATATATATTATTTCATTATTAGATTTATTTCCTTTTCTATTTGTTTTTTTTTTTTCCAGTTAGATTTTTGTAACATTTTAGTTTCTGCGCTGATGAAAATGTATATTGATATTAACGCAATATATATCTATCTTATTAACCAAGCTTGCTTGGGACCGTACTTGAAGAATGTCGGCCCTCGGTCTTTTTTGTACGGACCTTGCTGCGCTCGGTCCGTACTGTCAAGACCTCAGGCCAATATTCTCTCAGTATGGCCCTTGTGCTTGGTTAATAAGATAGATTTATCCCATGTGCTCTGATGAAAGGCTGACCCTTGAAACATCAGCTTTGAAACTATTTATGGTGGCCAATTTACATTATTAACTCAGTTGCTAAAACCAAAATTACCTTGTTACTCTCACCAATGCAGCACCACAGTTTCTTAGAAACTTACCCCCTCAGTTGTATGGACTCATTGAGTGAAGATATTATAGATGAGTTGCAGTAATGGTGTGTACTCTCACATTTTTTCCATCCCTTTCCCAATTTTTTTTTAATGACTTGAATCTGTGATTTTGGATAAGTAATTAATTTTTTCATTCACTTCTTTTGTCATGATGCAATTTTTCTTTCAACCCATCTGAAGTAGTAAGGGAATCTAAATTTGGTCCATATCACAGATACAAACAGGAGTAGTTTTGTCTTAGATGTTGTTGTTGATTGTGATCATTGTTACAAACAGTACCACTCTCCTTTGAAACAGAAACCACGAAGGTCAAACCAACAGCAAATAAGGTTGATCTGTTTGGTGCCCACAATGAGGATGAAGAAGATGATGGTGACTTGTTCAGTGGAGAACCTAAAGCAAAGGAAGCTGGACAGGCAACACCAAAGAAAAAGGTGTGTTCAAAATAGCAAACCTCTGTTCTTGTCTCAGCATGTTTCTCAGTTTTCAACTTATCATGGTCTTCAATCCCAAGTAACTCAGTGACAATGATCATACCATGGTATGCTCTGCATAGAAGCTAAGTTGGTAAATGAGGTAGGTTTGAGTAACAGTTTCCTCTTTGTTGTGTTCTGTGTTCTTTAGCTTCCAGCTGGTGCAGTATCCATGTTTGGTAGCTCACCACCTCCTTTAATGTTTGGCAAGAACACTGATGATGAAGAAGCGGTGAGTTAATTTACAATTTTTGAATTCTTGTACAGAACGGGATTTGGTATAAAAGTAGAAACTCACTTACTTGAACCATAACTATGCTTGAACTGGTTATCTTGAGTTTCCCTCCGATTTTAACAATATTAATAATATTAATAACAATAAATATTATGATGATGATCTTTTTCTTACCATTAGGGAAAAATGAATATCTAAGGTTTTGAAATACATATATACACAGATTTCTCACTTGAGAGCTTGCAATTTGATAAAATAACTTCAGAATGTTTGGAAAACGTCAACTTGGTTTTAAATTTTAAATTCCAATTTTATGAATGAGAATAAAATTTTTAAAATGACCAGCCAGTCAGTCTTGAATGATGATACCATTGAGAGCCTTTGAATTAGATTTTGAATTTTTGAATTAGTTTTGTTATATATCCACAGAAAGATGATACTGGGTTTTTCAAGGCATCCAATGCTGCACCAAAGAAGAATGAAGTAAAGCCTCCCCCTGTTTCACAGCCAAGCAAGCCAAAATCTGGGGGAGGACTATTCAGTGATGAAGATGAAGAAGAAGGGGGAGGGTTGTTTGGGGCCCCTGCTGCAAAGCCACTGCCCAAAGAAGAACCAAAGTCCCGACCAAAAACAAAGACAACAATTAGTTTGTTTGATGATGATGAGCAGGATCAAGAGGAAGATTTCTTTGCTGCACCAGCAGCTTCAAAACCAGTCAAGAAAGAGCCAACCAAGGACAAACCCAAAGAAGAAGTCAAGGTCAGATTCTCATTTCAGTCAGTAACTGGTTGCTGTTGCAGATGCCATGAGTCAGAACAATAGGGGAGAATAAGAACTGATAAAAAATCATTTTAAATTTACATAGCTCTAAATAGCGCCAAATTGCTGTTAGTCTGATGAAGAGAGCTTTTCCTTGAAGCTCAATCATAAAAGTTTGTAGAGAAATAGATTTAGTGGGTTGGTGTTGAGGAAAATAATACTGCTTTGGTTTATGTTCCAAAGGTGATTGTGTCACTGAGTGAACAATGACTAATTGCGTCGCTGTCTTTAACCCTTTGTGAACATTTCCTCGTACTCCAGGAATCTAAAGCACCCAGTGCTAAGACTTCTGGGCTCTTTGATGATGACGATGAAGATTTGTTCAATTCTCCATCGCCTAAACCTCCCCCCTCTCCTAACGTCGCCCGCAAGGAGGAAAAAAAGGTATGTCTTTTTTTAATCAATTTATAGCAAATAAATATATGTACATACAAACATATAATTAAATAGCTGCGTTTGGTCTGTACTGGCGACCTCAGTCGGTCGATTCTCCCATACAGACCGACCTAGCCCAGTTAATAAGATGTTTATTATATGGCTGTGTCTTGTAGGCCAATTTTTTATATTCTTTGTACCTTTGTTTTTCTAGACCGGTCTAGATGCCGGTCTAGATGGGAAAATTTAGACCACTTTCAATATTGATTTCAGCCAATCAAATTCGTGAATTCGGTAGTTCCCAGTCCTTGTGAGACACAGCCATGTAATAAATGTACATACAAACATATAATTAAATAGCTGTTGGAAGACCTAGCGACAGGAATGAACTTCCCTAATGATAAAGGCCACCAGAAACTATATATATGAAAACGAGAACATAAATAAAGTATACATAATGACAGGTAGTATCATAAAACGAGTATAGTAAAATGCTACATGTTAAAACTTAGTGCTAACTAAAATTAAACAACAATCACATTGAATCACTGCTGTCAATAGCAAAACAGTAGAGTCTTAGGTCATTTTTCAACATAGAAAGTGATTCCCTTCTCCTAATAGATATAGGTAAATTGTTCCAAAGACGAGCAACTCTGGGAAAAAAAGACGACCTAAATAATTCTGTTCTAGCATAGTTAGTTTTGAAAGTTAGTTCAGCGATAAAATATGGGTATGTGATAACTGGATATTTTACAGGAAATAAACCTGTTTTGAATGATTTGGTTTTCTCTAAGAAATTGCATGGTACGCTGACGACACTCAATTGTACCTGTCTTTTAGTCCAAAGGAACAAACTGGCAAGGTTGAAGCCATGGCGAACATGGAAAAATGTATTAATGGTATCCACAATTGGATGAAAGATGTCAAACTTAAATTGAATTCTGATAAAACTGATCTGATACTTATTAGCACAAAACAACAACTGGCCAAAGTAAAAACTACGCACCTCAGTGTAGGAAACGGCCACATTACACCACGTAAAGTAGTTAAGAACTCAGGGGTGTGGCTAGACCCATCAATAACAATGAACACTCATATAGATAAAACCTGTAGTACAGCTTTTTTATCACCTATGTAATTTACGTAGAATAAGGAAATATTTAACACAAGAATCGATTGAAATTTTAATTCATGCATTAATTTATAGTCGTATCGACTACTGCAATAGTTTATATTTTGGGCTGCCAGACTATCAAATCAATAAGTTACAAAGAGTGCAAAATGGAGCGGCAAGGTTGATATTCATGGCTAGTAAATATTGTCACATTACTCCATTACTTTTTAAACTTCACTGGCTGCCCATTCGTCAACTTATTTTATTTAAGATCCTTCTGATCACGTGTAAGGCTGTACATGGGCTTGCGCCTAATTATATACTAGAATTAATGAAGTTAAAGACCCCAGGAAGGTGCAGATTACGATCTTGTAAGGACGATCTATTACTGGAATTACCAAAAGGGAAGATGTACTCCACACTCGGTGACCGATCTTTTCAAACAGCCTCACCAAAACTTTGGAATGTTGTTCCATATTATATTATAAATTCAAAATCGTTGAATCTTTTTAAAAAATATTTAAAGACGTATTATTTTATTTAAAGAAGCTTTTAGTTGTTAAATATCGAATTACATTAGATTAGATTATATATATATATTGTACTTAAACTACACTATTCATTTTTAGATATTTTATTGACATATGTTAAGCATATATATTATTTCATTATTAGATTTATTTCCTTTTCTATTTGTTTTTTTTTTTTCCAGTTAGATTTTTGTAACATTTTAGTTTCTGCGCTGATGAAAATGTATATTGATATTAACGCAATATATATCTATCTTATTAACCAAGCGCGAGGGCCGTACTGGGAGAATATCGGCCCGAGGTCTTGACAGTACGGACCGAGCGCAGCGAGGTCCGTACAAAAAAGACCGAGGGCCGATATTCTTCCAGTACGGTCCCGAGCAAGCTTGGTTAATAAGAGATTTATTATACGACTGAAGTTCAAAGGGACACAAGTGCGGTATCATTCGGGATCATTCGGGACAGTGCCCGGTCCAATACTTAGAGAATATTGGACCGGCCATAGAGCATTTTGATTGGTTGATTTTAGTTATTGGCCCTCTGACTGCCCGAGTCGTGTAATAAATATATCTTTTTAGACGTTTTGTTGTGTAGTATCGCTAAGTATTTTTACGAGTTGTGACGTATTTTGACGAGCCCGTAGGGCTCGTCAAAATACAAATAACGAGTAAAAATACTCAGCGATACTATACAACAAAGCGTCTAAAAAGTTATTTATTATCCAACACGCCAAACTGTTGTTTCTGCGGGCGAATTTCGCGGACAGTTATTTACGGGGAGTGCGTGACAGAAGTATGCGAAGCGGAACGGAATTGGCGCGTTGTTGTGTTGCTGTTTCTATTTTCTTCATTAAATGAAGAAATTTTCTGGTCGTCAAGCTGTTTTTCTTCGTTCGATTCATCAAATGAACTTGGATCTATATTTGCCAGCCATTCTGACTCTTCATCGTCGGAAATATGATTAAAATTGTCCGCCACTTTTTTTTTCCGTAACTACAATCCAATTCTTCGCTTCCGCGATGCGAGAAAACCAGTTTAACCGGTACTACAATAGACGAGTACAAATAACGTGTAATATTTGTACTCATCTCTGGCGTTATTCGTACTCGTCTAGGTGTAGTTGGATAAGAAAAGTTAATATTCTTAATAATTCTTAATGGTACGTTTATTACGTGATTGGCTGATTGACTATCTGTCTTACTGATTGATTGACAGACGACCAATCTGATGTAGCTTTCTGACTTAATGATGACTGATTGATTGATTGACAGACTGAGTGAGTGACTGACCGACTGACTTATTGATTGACTGACAGACTGACTGACTGACTAACTGGCCAACTGACTGACTGATTGATTGATTGATTAATTGATTTATTGATTGATTGATTGATTGGTAATAGTGAACAGTGGTTTCCATTTTCGGCTGTCGAAAACCTGTCGGTCAACTGTCGGCCAACACATTACGGACACATTACCAACTATTGGTACCTGATTGAATGACCAACCGGTTGATTAATTGATTAGGCCACGTAGCTTTTTCTGCTTTCATTGTTTCATAACTGTACTTATTTTTTTTACAGGAAGAAACGAAGCCTAGTAGGAGTTCTTCAAAAATACAATCTTTGTTTGATGCTGATGTTGATGATGAAGGAATGTTTGGAGGTACATCAGAGGATATCTTTACAGCGTCACAGGTAACAGCAAAACAACAACAAGCCAAAACCAAAATAACAAGTAAACATGTTTTAAAATGTTTGACAGTCTAACAACCTCTGTAATTGATTTTCCTTCGGCATTATTAGATGTCTTCTTTGTGCGCGCTTTGAGAAGAACGACTGGTTATCTTTAAATGTTTTCTCCAGTCTCCTCAGAAGTCGTTTGAGCCCGTGTCACCTTTATCAGCGGCCATATCAGAAACAGTCCCGCCTCTTGACGGCAACGATGGAGTTTCAATCAGCAAAGCGAAACCCAAACCAACCGCTGCAACAACGGCGGCGCCGAAACCTAGTCTGTTCAGTGATGAAGAGGACGACTTGTTCGGTGGGAAACCAGTGGAGGAACCGAAAGTCGAGGAGAAGAAAGAAGTGATATCAGAGAGCCCCAAACCCAGGAAACCAGTCGGCGCAGTTTCCATGTTTGGTGGTGTTGATCTGTTCGCGGGTAAGAGGCCTTCGTTTCTGGGAGAAAAGAACGAAAAGAACGATCCAGAGACGACAGAGGCAGTCAAGAAAGGAGAAGGTTTGTCTCCCGAGTAGTCCTTGTTTGGTCATGTTACGCTAGACGTTGTTTTGACTCGTCACGCTTTCTCCGCCATACAGTGTTGCTTGATGAGACAAACAACTGTTGTTAAGGTGATTGATTTAGTTGGAAAAGGTTAGTGTTCAATTGTGACTTGTCTTCCAGTTAAGGTTTTTGCGAAGGGTAAATGAGATACCACTAGGCTAGATCTCAAAGGCTGACGCAATCGATACATGTATAAATCCTCCCTTTTTACCTTCCAACTTTATTGATTTGTTTTCTGTGTTTTTTTTTTTTCCACAACCAGACAAGCCTGCTACAACCGTGAAACAAGCGGATTTATTCGGCAGTGAACAAGCTGAAGATGAACTCTTTTCCTCCAAACCGAAGACAACAAAATCAATCGCGATTGCTTCCAAAGCCAAGCCAAGTTCAGACTTGTTTGGTGCATCTCCCGAAGATGATCTGTTCTCTGCTCCAAGTAAACCATCCTCAGGTAACACTAGGAGGACAATCCCGCCTTGGGACGGTTTCCTTATTGGACACATTCCCTCACGAAAAAATTAGGTGTAAGCTGTTTGTTATGAGCGTGAAAAAATGAAAATTTCTGAATCCTTCGCGAGGATTCCAGTCTCAGTTCTGAAATCGCGTTTGAATGGTTATGAAGTTTAGCTGAGCGACGGAGAACTTGATGTTGAGTTCTTAAGGCTCACATAACACAAGAGTCTCACACATACTGCTAGGGATCAACAATGTCTTGGGAAGAGGCCCTGTGGGTTCCATGTTTTTTTAAAGAAAATATGGTTGCTCTCTAAAGAACTGTTTTACGTCTTAGAACGAGCGCGGTACAAAGAAATATTTCTGAGTTCCATGAGAAATCGAACCTCAGACCTTCGGATTTCGCGCTCCACTGCTCTGCCACTGAGCTTAAGAGACTCTTCGATGATCCAAGATGTTACCAAGTTAATATGTGACATGCATTCCGCACACTGCTTGGTTCAACAATGTCGAAAGCTTTGGATGAGTAAAATAGAATACGAAGGATGATGCATTTTAAGCTCGGTAATAAACAAAGAAAAATTTTGAAGATGAGAGTTCATGCAGCTGTGCATTTGTCTTAAAATTTCAGAACCGAAGTCAGTAAAGCCTCCAGTTATCTCGAAACCAGAGGTAGAAGACGAACCTACCAAACCTGTTGAGCCCGTAGAACCTGTCAAACCTGTAGAACCAGTAAGACCCAAGAAACCTGCTGGAGCGGTGTCCATGTTTGGTGGTGTGGACCTATTTGGTGGCAGCAAATCACCGCCATTTACAACGGCTCCCGCCAAAATACGTGTACCTGTAAAACCAAAAGGTAGCATAGTATGTTTGTTTGTTTGTTTGTTTGTTTGTTGTTGTTGCTGTTGGTTTTTTTTTTTTTTTTTTTTTTTTTTTTGCTGTTACTTACCTGTGAGACCACTAACACTTCAGATACAGGATTGTGAGAATCGTTTTTGTCTCTTTAACCACAAGAGTGATTAGGATTCAATTTCTCCTTACAACACCACCCCTGAATCAAACATGGTCTTGAGAATTAAAGACATATTTAACAGAGCTCGACAGTAACTTTTCAACTTACTAGCCAAGTGGCTAGAGACAACTTAGATGTTACAACAGTTTGTTTACTTAGCCAAACTAGCTAGTGAAAATCGAAAACCAGACAAAACTGAATTTCTACTAGTCTGTGGCTAACTGGCTACCGTTAGTGTCAAGCCCTGATATTAGCCACTTGAGACGCGCGTCATTTTTTTAAATTCTCCCAGCCTGTCCCATAGGACACGTTTGGAGAACAGTATTGAGAATAAGCATTCTGATGTCAGGGTGAAATTGCGTGAACTTGAACGTGGGTTCCGCCAGATCAAGCATGAAGGGTTTGCCGAGACTTTTCTGGGTCCTTGCGTTTTGCTCTTGAGCAGTGATCTTTCATCTCCAGGGCCCAAGAAGGAGCAAGAAACCCACCTCATCCCCCCTTACCCCCAAGAAAAAACAAAAAGTTTTTGTGAGGTGTCCCCAACGATTTCTTTGCTGACTGTTTGCAGATCCCTTAGGAGGGGACGACGAAGAAGACTTGTTTTCTTCCGAATCTAAAGATAAAAAAGAAGCTGAGCCTGAGGTGAAGTTGATTCTCTGTAGTTAACAAGGTTATTTATGTGGCGTAGGCAACATCAGTACGAGATACATGTGATGGAATATGAACAGTATCTTTGGCTCGATTCAATTCCTCATTTCAAAAACGAGTGGGGGAGTGGGTCGGGCTCGCCACGAAAGTTTGTCTGGGATCGTTACTCGGGACACAAATCTGTAGTAAACAAAGAATTGCGTCCCAAGTAACGATCCCAGAAAACCTTGCGCGGCGAACTCGACCCACTCTCCACTCGTTTTTGAAATGGGGAATTGGATTCCGCTTACCCTTCGCACTGGTGTGCAGCACTCTCAACTTTAAAACCCGTTTATAGACCTGAACTTAAGGAAACGCCTTTTTCTGTTTATTTTAGCCATCAGGTCCACTTCCAGTACCCAAGCCAGCCTCGTTACCATTCCCCTCGAGTGTCAGTCCTAAAACGTCACCGGTGAAGCTTGGGTCAGGAATCGAGAAGCTGCAGGTATTAAATATGCTTTGAAGGGAAGAGTGACATCATATCAAAATTTCGATCTTTATTAAAGGGATAAGACAACGAAACATTACAGAAATGAAACACAAGTCAAACTTTTTTACCTTTTAAATGAACCTGAAGAAACTACGTCGTGGTTTGTCCTTCGTGAGCCCGAAATGAAGTATTCAAGATTGGTTTTTCTCCTCAAGCAAAGGTTACTCTCGATGGCACCCCGTACGAATTAACGTGTACTGACAGTGTCTTTTTTAAGCGTGTGTTATTTATTCTTGTCAGAAATCTCTCGCCTTTAATCCTGCCATGTTGAGACCCGGAGCGGCCCCGCCGAAGAAGGAGGCCCCGGCTACTGTAGCTTCATTTGACGAGCCAGCCAAAGTCACCACCCTGGAGAGCACCAATAAGGTTCGCTTGAATCAACTCATCTTTCACTTTCCTTGACATTTGAAACGGGTGTGGTACAAAAAGTCTCAGTCACCCTGCAGCATTCGATTTCGCGGTCGGTTGATTGCTAACTGAACTACAGAGCAGTTGTTGGTTAATAGGTCATATGCAAGGTCCATATGCGACATGCACTCTACATATTATTGCAAGGATCAGTAAGGTTAACAGCATCCTTTATTATAACACAACCAAAGTAAAGCGCGCGCTCTGATTGGACACTTCAGTGTACACCATTTGCCCATGGCTGTACGCTGCTGACGTGACCAAATGCAAAGACTTGTCTTCGCGCGCTTGTTTTTTCTGGTCAAGTAAGATTTGTCAAATAAAAGAGAACTCTTTTGCTGCAATATATCAATGTTACGTTAGAAAAGGGAAAAGCTAGAGTTGCTCTTTACGCTTCTTTCGTGCTTAGCAAACTTCCGCGTGCATCCATAACTCAATAGTTTATGCTGTGGTGTTTACCATTTGTTAATGAAGGTGGGATCTTAAAGATTGTCCATTTTTGAGCGCGGGAGTCTAATAAAGAAATGTATAGCACTTCCCATGAGTGTGGAATAGTAAAAAAATTTGCCGGAATCTTTGCCATGTCTGATTTTCCACCCCTTTATTTTTTTTGGTGTCCATTATATCAACTTATTTTTTGCTCAATGTTTTCAGGTTCGCGCCAAGGTCCAAGTCAAACGCCGTCCTCCAACGCGCCAAGCCCGTCGGGCTGCGGCAGCAACGAGTAGCGCTACGGACGCATCACTTTTTGGCACGTCGACGAATGAAGACGAGGGCGCAAGTGCTCGGGTGTCCTGGGGAGGATTTCCCTCTCCGGAGGAGGGACTGGGAAATTATGAAGTGGATACTGGGCAGCGACCGTCGAGGACTAAGACCAAGGATTCTGATCTGAGTGACGAGTTTTTCGGTTTCACTAGTTCTGGGTCCGCTCGGGTTAAGAAAGACGTCTCCGAGGACCCTTTATCTGGGGGAATTTTTTCAGATTCTGTTTCTACTAAGCCGAAGGTTTCGACAGCTAATGAACTATTTAAGGAGGACTCCGATGATTTATTTTCAATTTCAATCGAGAAAACAAACAAGATAGATGTGGACGATCCTCTTTCTGTTGGTCAAACAAAAGAAGAAAGTAAACCCAAGACTGCAGATCCGTTAATTACAAATGACTCTTCTCCAAGTTTAGTTAGTGCCACATCTCCCGAAGAAGATTTATTTTCATCTGCCAAAGACACAAAGAAAAAATCAGAAACAACTGTAAAGGAAACGCCCAGCAAAGGTGAAGAGGACTCAAAGATTTCCTCGCCTCTAGATGACGATTTATTTTCACCTGTCCCCAAAGACGATAAAAACGTGGGTAAAACAACAGCTGCAAAAGATCAGCTCTCCGCCAAACTTCCAACAAACCTTCCAGCAAAGGAACAGTCGCCAGTCTCAGATGGCGACTTGTTTGCGTCAAATACGGCAAAGGAAGAGAGCAAACCCAACAAGGGGGAGAAAGAAAAAACCACCACGGATAAAAAATTTTCTTCCCCTCTCGGTGACGACGATGATGATTTGTTTGCAGTTAGTGCGCCGGCCAAGAAAGAAATAAAAACAGTTACAGACAGTGCTGCGAAAAAAACAGCAAGTCCACTGTCTGGCAAGAAGACAGTTACGAAAGGAAGCTCAATTCTTGACGTAAGTAGTGCTTGGCTTCCATCAGTTACACAATCAGGTTTTTCTTACTCGGTGCTGCTAGGGAAACATTTTTTCCACACAACAACGATAGCAATAGCTTGTGCCCGGCACTTGGTCAGCTCATACGAACAAAAACGAAGGCGAACGAAAATCGGCGGGGACTTGGGGAGAAGAAACGAAGTGGGGTCGAGGGGGCTTAAACCAGAGCTTATTTCCCCCCACCCCTCCCATTTTTGTCTCGCTTGTCTCGATTTTTCGCTCGTCCTTAGACACTAGAGTACGCCAGCATAATACGCTATGTTGATGAGGGATTCCTTTTTTGTCCCTTATTTGAAAGACAAGGCTATACCAGGTGCAAAAACGTGTTGAGGTTAGTTGATGAACTAGCCTGAAAGACTGATAGCCCAGTTAGAATATCTTCGCACCTTGTCTTTCTGAATTGAACTTGAGGGCGGGTGTGTGGTAAGGAAAGAGCGGATTGCAAGAACAATTGTTAGAATATACTAGTATTTAAGGTGTATGAATCTGCGTTTGGTTTTTTCAAGTTTCTTTTTTGGTTTGTTTTGTAGTTTGTTTGTTTGATTTTTTTTTTTTTTTTTCGGAAAACCTTGTTCCCTTTCCAACTACTGGTCTAGACCAGCCTCTTAGCCTTTTTTTGGCAATGCAAGCACAGATTATTATTGAGCGCAGAGACGTTTCTGTTATCTTGACTGAGGCTTGAATCGAAAAGAAATAGATACGTACACCAAGACTCTGTTTAAGTCAGCTGTGTTCATGAAGAAACGCGCGTCTCTACCGCGTGGACGTGTTTCCCTCGCGTGATTTTCCTCATTCCTTGCGTGGTCTGTAGATTTGGGCGTGAAATTTAAGTTTTGAAATGTTTTGATTGTTTGACGCCGAATTTTTTTTTAGGTTGAAGAAATTTTAATTTTGCTTTAAAATAACAATTTCACACAAAGGTATCTCATCGTTTGCGTGGTTTCCGAGTAATTACTGTTTCCATAGTACCGAAAAACAGCTTTAGTTTGGAACAATTGTGAGATCTTCAAAGGCTGATTTCTGGCAAAAATTAATCATAACTTAATGCTGTCGATAGGTAAAGTAAACGTTTTGAAAAAGCAGCTATGCCAAAGGAAAAGAAATAAACATTGTTATCTCTACCAGCTTTTGCACCGACGGACAGTTTAGAACGTCATAAAAAAAAGGTTTAAATTTAGTTTGTTTATGTCTATTGTAATTTAAATTGGATGTTTTTAATGTAAGTTTGCAGCCGGCGATAATCGACGTTATTTGATGTCTATATTTACATACACAATGATATATTATTCATATATTTCAAGGGCACATGACTTTTAGGCGACTTTTATTAAATAAGATCTATTTATAAACATAGATGATGAACTGTAAAACGGCAACTACAGATTGCAAATTTTCGAAATCTTTTAAAACCTTCGTCGTCAAACTCTTCGTCTTATTTTGCTTAAGACTTTTCGCAATCTTCAGACAAAATTTTTAATGGTAATTTTGGAGAGTTGTTTGTAAAAATGGCTTTTAATGGAACAGGAGCAGATGTTAAAAAAAAAATTAGTATTTCGTAAGTAGGTCGTGCAATTTAGCGAGGAACTGCAAGAACCGTTGTCGTGAAGACAGCGAATACAAATTGTTGCGTGGGTGGCCTTCAATTTCTCATTTATTCTTATGTCTTCGGCCACTAAGTTAACATAGCTTCAAAAAAAGGTTAAAAACATATACAGCAAAAGTTTTGTAATAAAATATGTATTTACGCAGCACAAGTTTTTCATGATCAAATTTACAAGGCGTCCGTCATATTTGACGTTCACAGTGCATCTAAAAAGCTTTCGTCCAAATATGTTTACATTCTTGGTGCTGTCTTAGCGATTTCCTTCGTGAGAAACTTGATAACTTAGTGTAAATTATTTTTGTAACGACGCTTCGCGTTAGGAGTTGAAACGTTTTTTTTTTCTTTTTTTTTTTTTCCTGTTATTTATTGAATTATTCTGCAATAGTACGAGTTTCATTGGAGTTTGTTTGTCACCTGTTTTCAGAAAGAAGACGATGAATTATTCTCCGTCAAGAAAACTGAAGCCCGAAAGCCGAAGAAAGTCGTGAAACCGCTGGGAGATGATGACTTGTTTGGAGACTCAGGGGACATCTTCAGCGATATTCCGAGCAAACCAAAGGGGCCTAAAAAGAAAAAGTCTGCGACCAATGCACCCAAAGACGACATATTCGCTGATGATGCCGCGCCTGGAGGTTTGTTACAGTTTATTTTTTGGAAAAGTGTTTATCATTATTTTATTTAGTTGTTCCTCGAGGAATCGGATGGGATGCTCTATCGAGTAATCTAAGAGCGAAGTCACCTTCCATCATCCTGAAAAAAAGATCATAAAATGGAAGGAGACTTCCCCATCAGACTGGGGTACGAATCCTTACAGAGGTCTTTTATTTTTTCCCATCCAACGCTCTCCAGAAATGCTTGGCATCTCACTCTTCGCTCTTATCTGGATTTAAATTATTTTTATTCAGATCTTCCATGCAGCATGTCTATTAACAATCGGCCAATCAGTCATTCTAAAACTGCCTGTTGATATTTTTGTCACGTTTAAAAACTTCTCCACCAATCACGGTAGTCATCTTCCCATATTTAGGCTTTTAGTCTCGTGTGTTTGTTCTCCAAATGTTTTTAACAACCACGGGTTTACTGTTGACTTTCTTGTCTTATCGATTGTTTTTGTTCCTGAACACTGCGATTGCTGTACACCGCTGACTCGAATCTGGCAGGTTCGATTTCTGTCGGTCTCGGGTCCGGTCTTCCTTCTGCTTCCCCACTCCCTCCCTCCTTGGGCTTATTTTCTGAACGGAGACAAGCCACCTGGGCTAACAAACGGGCCTTTTAGCTGTACTTCAACCCGGTCGTCAATGTAAGGTCTGTTTGTAATTATCAAAGTGGGAGTTGAAAACCTAATCTGGAGTGCATACTAAAACATTTCATCGCTACAGTATACATATACGCCAGAGATATAGTGGCTATGATAAGAATTTTGATGACTCATGTTCAAAATATGTTGTCTTTGTCAGTCATTTTCCGAAATAAATGGAATGAAAACTTCGAAAACCCTCTTTATATCGAAAGCCTTGACTACTTCGAAAAATACCGAATTTTAAGGTTGAAATTTGCGCTGTAAAAGTCCCACTAGGTTTCTTTTTCCAATTTTCCAAGATGTACATTTATACGTAGTGGTATATATGTAATCATTTATTCGTTAATTCGTTACAACAGGAGACGAGCATGCGCCAAAGAAAACAGCGACAAAAGCCAAGAAGAAAACAGATAAAAAGCCTAAAAGTTCAATATTCGATGACGACGCACCAAGTATATTTGACGACCCACTGAATGCTACTTCAAAGTAAAAATATTGCAACTAAAAAAATTTCCTTAAAATTGATGAGACGCCAAAATCATTTTACACAAATAAATTAGTCACGTATTTTATATAATATAAGAAAAAGGTACAGTCTGCTATCATAATTAAAATGATTTGTAGTATTTTTTGCTGATTCTCCAAGAGAAGTGCAGCGACGGTACCACAAGGTCAAAAAAGACTGAAGGAATTAAATGTACTTGAGATTTCTATTTTGTATAGAAGAGCGTGAAAGAATGAAGTGATTTTCTTGTTGGCCAAATTTAAGAGATTAGCGATTTCCCTTGACAGAGCCGAGCAGAAGCTCTGTCAAGGGCCCTCTTTCAAAATACCATTCTAATCCATTTTACAAGCTCTTGAAATACAAACCAAGACAAACAAAACCACGTTTACATATCGTTTCAAGATGCAGGCTCGCGGTTCGTGCACGTAAACAAAATGAGGCTAAATTTTCATGGTCGTCATTCCCAATCAATTTTGAGATTCTGGTTTTCTCGTACACCGCAGGGAAAATGGCCACATGAAAGAACCACTCACGAGATTTCCATTTTTTCAGCCTCACACAAGGATTTAATTGACTTTAAGTTTTAACCTGAGGCGAAAGAGTAATTGAGAGACACCACTCGATACTCATCAACAACACATACGGTAGAGCCACTTTTGTTTTTCTTTGAATCAGGTCCAGTTGATCCTTTCACAATATAGACAATCGTTTTAGCACATTAATTTTAGTGTTGTTTAAATTTAGATGTTTGTTTAGGTAAAAGGTCAACTTTAATCTGAATTCTTTAGATTTGGCGAATTAGTATTTCACGAAGAGTCACAAAAGCGAAATTACTGAAACTCATCTCTCTAGCAATGGCAATTGTGAACCACTGTGGCAAATAAATCTATGTTTGCTCATGGATGGGGAAAATCCACTGTTTGCGTGACTTTCCAGACGAACTCAATCCATTGAAGATCTCGTGAGAAAAATTTCTCACTTGATTTACAATCAATTTATCCTCTTATTGGGTGATAATGAAATCCACCCGCCTGAGCTAATACTCACGCATGTATAGCAGAAGGCATGTTGTAAATTGGTGAATAGCACTTCGCTTGCCAGCAAGTAAGTTTCGTGATAAATTTTATAAGATTCCATGCGGGATCTTCCGAAATATAATAGACATGTCTGGATGCGCTGTGATCCACATGTCTTTCAGATGTTGGTATCGATTGTTTTTACTTTAAACCGATAGTTAGTGTAGGATCTGTGTTTAATTATCAAAGCAGGAGTTAATTATCCTGTCTGGGGAGCATAATGCAACATTTCAACGGTACAGAAAAAGGACACCATTACTCATGTTAGAAAAATGTTACTGTCTGTTTCATTCGCTTGAAAATGTAGAATGGAATTTTCAAAACCTCCCTTTATAGCGAAATTCATGACTGAAGTATTGAAATTAAAGATTGCAGTTTACACCCCTAATAGCCTCCTGTTCACCTTTTACCTGTTTGACACATTTCCCAAAGTTTGTAAAACGAAATGAGGTCGGAGTAATCCAGGAAAAGATGAGGTTCTCCTTATGATCCTTCTTAGAAGGAGAGCACGGATAAAGAGCAGGGTGTGTCGGAACTCTTCGGCTGTCTTCGGAAAAGCTTTCGATACCTTTTCGGAAACAGTCGGATTCTCTGCACAGAAAGCTCATGCATTTCAGTCAAACTAGACTTGCGTCAGTTTCCATATTGGCTAACGAGCAAGGTTCTCTGTTACAGTATCAGGTGATGGAGCTTTCTGTTGTACACGACATTATTTTGTTCTCTATGTTAATTATGTCCCTAAGGCAAACGGCCGGAGGCTGTTGGACCAGACAAATTGTGTTTGAAGATGATGTGTAAAATAACCACTCAGCATTTTGACTTATTGTTCTTATTATACGTAAAAAAGAAAGGCAATAAATGCAACGAAGAGTGGAACAGGAGTGAATGAGAAGAGTTCCTGTTTTTAGTTTTTGTCTTCACCGATGCATGTATGCAGCTAGATTGAATTGCCCATAATGAAACAGCTCTATCTTGATTTCCCACACACCTGCTGAGAATCGACGAGAAATTAAGTGGTGCTTTTTGACCTTGACCAAAGATGTACGCATGGCATAATCATGGTCGGTTTGATTTTCAATTCCAACCATATCTGAATGTCCGTTGAATGCGACATTTGATTGTTGCATATTTGACACAAATGATGTCCAATTCCGTTTTATCCCTAACAGAAAAAGTTTTGATGATTTGTATCTTTGGGAAGAAAGATTGTGTTGGCGGCGTTCGCGTTCGCATGTTAATTTCCATGACCGTGCATGCGAGAAAAGCAAGCACGTGCTTTTTGCGCCGTATACATGCGCAGTCGTTAACAGAAGCTTCACTCTGAGGTTAATTCCTACTCCAAGGGTCAGAAAAACAACAGCAGTATATTTTTGCTGAGAAGCCGGCTGCATGCGATTGTGGTTACATGCTTGAAAGGTTTCGTATGAACGTAGACTTGCGTAATGATCCCAAGTACCTTCGTGTTTGCTTGCAAGTGTAGTAAGATGTTATCTAAGCTCTCAAAAATCATTAGCTCGAGCGGCGCAAACAAACTTAAATCGAGTCACGTATTTTCGCTTATCCTGCCCCTTCGAGGGGGTATGAAGTCGAACTAAGCTGATTTTACCCCGCATACCACTTCCAAGGTGAAAAAAAAAAATGGAAAATGCTTCCAATTCATTGAAAACAAATTATTTATTAGGCAATGTTTCCGTGCAGGGCGTATGGATTTATGAATAAAGAAAGAAAGTACTTTTACGTGTTTGAAAACTTATTTTCTCACTTTTTGAGTGAAAAAAAGTTTAAAATATCTGTGTATTCGAAGCGTTGAAACGTGTCGATAGAATTCATGTTTCAAATCGTCAGGAATTTGCATGGGATAATTTGCTAATTGTCATGTTAATACAGGGTGATGGTGTGAGAGGTCCTTCAAGTTAATTACATCTCTTATTTCCTTCTCTTTTCCCGGCTGAATATCTCTTCAATGCGTTCCTTTCTTGCGCGGTTTATACCAGCAAGTGGCCTGGCACATCTTTAGACCTAACGTCAACGTCGAGCAGTCAATAGAGCCACCTTAAGTTGAATCAGCGCGACGAGACGTCTTGTGTTTTCTTCGGAGGTGCAACAGCTAGGATCAAGTTTATATAGTTGATCAAATAATTTTCAACTAATCCACGGATTAATAGCAGTGGGTGGACCTCGCCCCTCATGCCTCACGAAAACCTCGATATCTTAGCTCAATACTTTTGAAAAACTGCCCTTCAAATTTGCCCTTTCATCACAATTAGCAGTAATGTCGCAATCTGATTGGCCAATTTGCCGTTGTCGATAAGGGTACAGACAACGCTGCCTGCGTCAGCGTGTCACGTACTGAAAGAATCGTTTCATTTGTCGTCGATATTCTGGTAAAAACCACTGTTGATTTGTTAAATCTTAGCAGAATCCATTTGATAAAATGCTCTTCAAATGTGTCTTTTTAAAGTCGGATCCCCGACGCTTTTTCAGTCTCTAACCTGAAAAAGGCCACCTCTGGATTGTTCATCGTGCATCATGGTGTCGAACGGAATCTGACCTTTTTTTCCAATGGCGAAAAAGATGTAACCGAGACTTTTCAATTCATGAAGATCGAGTTTAGCTTGTTGTTTTTCGAGAGTTTATTGCACGTAGTGAGTAGATGTTGACACCTGTATAACTCACCATATTTTCAGAAAGAGTAACGACAGTTTAAAAAGCAGTTAGGAAATGTAAAAAACATCTGCAACATTTCAAAGATACAGTTACTTGCATTTTCAAGTCTTCACGCCCGAGCTTACTCACCACATAGCGTTAGTTTAACGTTTTACTCCTGAGATCTCGAGAATAATTCTCCTCACTGTCCATCAGACGTTTCTTTGAGTGGTAGTTGCGAGAATTTGGTGTCGTTTACGCAATTAAACTGAGTTCCCCGGCTGTTGCCTAGATGCTATATATTGGATTGATGTTGTAGGGAGGAATTGCTTCTCCATCTTTATCTCGTACTACGTTATATCTTGATAGACTATCAAATGACTGAAAAAATTTCTCAAATACCTTTCCAGTTACGGTAGTAAAAGCTACTCAGGTCCCCACTAGCTAAGTGCTGCTTCCTCATGCAGAGTAAATTTACTTAAGTGGGGCCAGAAATTTTATACCAATTGCTAGTTACAGGTTTATCCAATCGTTCACTAGAAGGCTATGATATGCAAGTTGATACGAAATTCACACCTTCAGCTAGCGATTCACACCCTCAAAAAAATAAATTTTGTCCCATTGCCGGTTCCCATCTGACTTTTCCATAAGTTTCGAATTCAGTGACAGTTTATCAGTTCTACCTTACACTCCTGGGTTAAGTTAAGTCTATTACTACAACCAATACCGCTGGCCACTACGATCTTGCCAAGGAATACATCAAAATGGTTCTGCTACGTTTACGAGACTAGCATTCCTACCGGCAGTTCATCTTGTCAATTCATGTTACAGAAACCAGTGGACGCTTAGGTGCTGTGAGGGGTCTGGGTCAAGTTCCGATTTTAACTCCGTGGAAGTGTCTTAGGCTAAGCTTTTTGCCCGTTAGGAAAATTCAAGTTTTTCCTGTTGAGGACAGCTAATTGAGATGTTCGGCTAATGCATGGCAATTAAAATGTGCTATTGTTTATCTATTAATCAATCTGTACGTTTATTTATTCATTTTCTTTCCTATTTAATTTAGCGATTTATTACATACACTGCAAATTTATTTCGTCTCTGCAAAAAAAGCTGAAAAAAAAAGAAAAGAAAAAATTCCAGTCAGCGAAGGCAAACAATAGACCATGAAGTGAGAAAAATACGAAATCATAGCTAAAGCGATATGTTCGATAAAAATCTTAACAGCGCACACGAACTTGTCACGTCGAATCTTTTTCCTCTGTCGCAGCTCGCACATGTGCTTCATACGCTGAAGAGTTTCATGTTTCTACCGCAGCACCGCCGTTCGGGTCAAGAACATAATAATAACTCATAATTTTTGACGCTAACTACCAACAAAAAAAAGAGAGGTGAACGTTTCCTTCAACCCCTTGCATTGCGTTGCATCTGGTGATAAACAAAATTCTGATCATGTGTACTATGGCATAAATTCACGACTGAAACATCTCAATTTTTGAAAGTGCTTGTTCTACTGATTTGATTATAGCTGTCATATACTTGAAAAAAGCACTTCATCATGCGTAAATACAGTGTAATTGTAAGGCAGATTGAAGTTTCTTGGCGAAGAAAGATAAGAAATGCTTTGGCGAGAATATTTCTGATTACCAAAACATACTTCATGAATGGTTTAAAATCACTTTCTATGGCACACGTCGCTGAGTTTCGGCAGTCGCCGGTTGAAATCGTGAAACGACAGACCAAAGAAAATGTGTCTCCTTTGAAGACAGCGTTTTTATGTAAATGCAAGTGATCCTTTTAGTTTTGTGTAGTTATAACTCAGTGATCGGCGAAATTGTTTGTTATGAATTTTCCCGCAACACCTGCCTTGAGGTAAATTTTTAAAGCACTTCTGTGACAATCGACCAGCCCATGGCAAAAATCCATTAGCAGCCAGACATGGTACTGTCTGAAAATCGGAATTTAATTATTTCTTTTACATTCAGCGCGGGGTGTTGTCGCGAGATTTGACCGTGAATTTCAGTTTTTAACGGCTTTTGAACTGATAAGTCTGCATCTAGTAAGTGAAACACGGCATAAAATTTCTTTTATTCGCTTTACGTTTGGTATCGAAGACCGGCGTTTGACAGCTCTGTCCGTTTGATCTGAATGGCTTTCCCAGACAATAAAGAAAAAAAAACAACATTTATGAAATCTATTGCTTTCCGTGAAAGATCCAGCTGTGTATATCCATAGCTCAGAACGATTTTGCTCTATATATTTCTTCATTTTTTTCTTTATATTCATATATTTCTATTTTATAAGTTTTTGCTCTTTTTTGTTACTTTATTTCAATGGTTTATTTTTGGTTTACCTTTAAATAGAGCCTAAAAGGTACCAAATTATTTTCACATCTTTCTTCTTCGATCTCGTCAGACCTCAGAGTTTTCAGAATCTTTTAAAAACTCGGTGAAAGTAACTGATGATTTATGGGTCCCAGCTTCTTTTTATAGATCATCTTTGTCAACATTTCAAACATTTGTCAGAGATGAAAGTAATCCTTGGCAGGAGCCCATTAATGGGCCTCCTGCCCTTGGTTCATAGCGCAAAATTGTCAACTTCAAGTTAACTAGAAAAGTGGCATTAAGCCAGATGCTGGAATGGGCTGAAGCGCGTTCTTAGCTTATGGATCGAAGACCATTTCATTTCTTGTGGCTTGACGGTCATCATAAAGCCAAATGACTGCAGTCTAAATGTTACTTTTTTCCTCAACAAACAAAGAACTATTTTCACAAGGGCTACCTGTGAACACGTGCAAATCACAAGTCACCAGCGCGCGTCACAGTAAATCGTGTCGAAATATACATTACTCAAATCCGTTATATTTTCCATTTTATTTTGTTTTTCACGTTTTCTGATTATCATGTCATCAACGATCGAACTCCAAACGTTGTGCTTTCTAATTGATCCTGTGCCTGTAGGAGATTCCGGTGTTTTTCAGAATATTTTCCTCAACTGTCACTTTTCAGAACAATGAAGCAAATCTTGTGAAGGCACCTTCGTTACGCGCACCTTTCGTGACTTTCTGACCGTCCTTGTAATTTAAAACGTACACAGATCCCGAGTTGAATGTAATTGTTTGAATTGGCCTTACCCCAAAAAGGACGAATTGACATAAATATTTTGTTAAAGCTCACGCGATAGCATATTTTAAACGGGCGATCATTCCTATGAAAAGAGAATGTTCATCTTCGCGTAAAATTTTCAAAGCTTGTCGTACCATGATGCTGAGCGGTATTATTCGCGCCATTTTCCTCGCTATATTTTCGCGGGAAAGCCATTCATGGTCCCTCATCACGTGTTTTTAGTTGTCATTTAATCCAATCAGAACACTCACATGTGGACTATTTGCCATTCAACTCTAATTCATTGTTCTCGGCTAAACCAATCAGATGTCCTGTCTCTACTCTGTTGTTGTTGTCAAAATGCAAAATAGCTCGTATTTTTGAGACCTCGTGGAAAAGCTAGAAAAATTTTTTTGTGGCGTCCCACCCACCACGTCTGAGTTTGTGCGGATTTCGCTGCATTTGAAGGATTCATTCACGAAATCATAGATGCGAGAATATGCCAGAATCTAGCATTGATAACAGGGATGTATTGGAGTGCGTTGAAGCCGGAGGTCGCCGTAAGAAAGCAAGATTTCCTAATCAGTGGAGTTCGACTAATACAACACCTCACCAGCGAACATTGGAACTCGAAGGAGTCATCGAGGTTTTGCGCGAATACGATTCAGTCGAAGGCAATGATATAAACTGCTCTATTTGTGGTAGGTACAATTTTTTCTCACATATTATTATTTCTGTGGTTATTTGAGGCCATATACCCAACAAATGGCACATTCGCCGCCGCTAAATAAAATCTTCATTCAAATACGCGCTCATGTTTACAAGAGTAGCGAAACGAATAATTCTAATTTATTTACCGTTTTTGGCCTCAATAACCCTTCCTTTACACAAACTTGAATTATTTGCTTATTCTGAGATATATGCTGTAATTTTTTGTCTTTTCATTGAAATTTGAAATTTTAAGAATTTTTTTTCAATTTTTACTACGCTTCATCCTAATTATTTAGCTGAGCAAACAAATAAGCTACGAGTTCTGAGGGGGTTTATGTCGAGACCTGCATTTTAGAAAAACTTTCAAAGAGACTGTTAATTTGTTACTGTCCTGTTGTTTGAAAAGATGCTTAACTATAATTTGGAAGATTTTTTGGTGTATTTGTGTTCGGAGCTATGAAAATTTGGGTACAAACTTTGTAGCAATTTCACGCTCTGTGTCATGTGAGAGGCCTCGTGTTTCGCTTTCGTCATCCCGGAACTTTTTTCATTGGAACAAAATTTTCCGTTTTCGAGCATCGAAACCGGTTGAAAATCGCATATTCGTTAAAGCTAAAACCTCAAATGATTTCTTGTTAAAGGTTTTGTAGACTGTCTATCATTCGTCAATTTTTTCCTAATTTTTTTTTTTATTGTCAAACTTGGCGACATGTTAAATATCGACTGTATGTCTTTTAGGTAGGAGGGAGAACTTGTCTTTGCCGGCTGGCCGGTGCTATTTTGTTTATTTAGAAGCATAATTTTTTCATTTTGCAGGAAAACTCTATAAAAGTAAGGTGTGTTTCACAAAGCACTTATGGGAGCATAGCGTTTACTGGGATCTGTTCGATGCGCTAAAAAATCAAGAGCGTGTCTTGTCGATTCAGGCCGCAATTATACTATCGCAACCATATCTGGAATTTTTGCTCGTAACCTCGCCGACATCGACAGAAAAGAAGAAAGAAGACCCTAAACCGAATAGCATTTATCGCAAAAATGCCACAAGAAAAAGGCAACGAGAATCATCGACATGTTCTGTAGACTTTTAATTTCTTAAATATTTTTCCATATTATGTATATTATATGGTGTGGCAAACGGTCTACACTTGTTTATATCACTTGTAAAAGTGCCTTTGAATTTATATATATCTATAAATATATAAGAAGAGAGAAGTTAAAAAAAGGTGTAAATGATCAGTATTTTGTTGTGGGAGAAAGATTTAATTCTTGTATCATAGACCCACGTTGTGAATGATGTTTGTATTTCGTTTATTTCCAAAGTGACAAAGCTCGATATCTCGAGATTAAAAAACGAATTTATTCTGAAGTTGTTAAATGCCAATAAAGTTCATTGGATCAAGCTTGTGTAGGAGAATAAATGTGCTTGTCTGGGTGATGTTTTGGCTGGGTGAACCACTTAACAAGGTTTTGAATTTCTTTGACAGACACCTCGAAATTTAAATTTACAAGCAAAAATGAAATCAGCCATTTGTAGGCGATGCGTAAACTATATTTAGCTTCTCGGTTTATAAAATTTTTGGACCTTTTATGCGGCAAGAGCCTCTTTCGCAAAGTACACTTATGACTGGGCTTTGTGTTATGTTATGTTTACAATAATACCCCATGGGAATACTTATGTAAGAAGTTGGAATTCCAAACATTTTTCTCAAGAAACAAGTTCTGTCAACTTTTTGGAAGCTTCCTGCGGAGGTCACAAATAAGTAATCGTTAGGATAAAGGAGCTGCTGGAAGGCATTTGAAACGTTGTAAATATCCCCACGAATAGGTTTCTCGTTCGCATCGGGAGTTAACTCAATACGGTATTCATAAGATCTCGTAATGCCTGATTAACCTCAGTGGCGGAAACTTGCGCCCGCGCTAAATACGCGGAAAAAATTGTACACTAGGCGAAAGGCAAGCCGTCGATTTCAAGTCTGCTAACCATATTAATTTCCATTTCGCCAACTTTGCTTAGCTATTTTCGTATTTTGTTTGTAGTGTTGCTTTCACTTCACTCTCTTCAACAGCTATTTCGAGACGCTTGGCTGTATTATGCAAATGCAAGGATAAAGGTTTCATACCAACTGCATTTTTGTTTTTTCATTTGTATTGGAATAACTTTCTGCTTCGCTGACTTGAACAAACCTGATCGATGTGGTTCTGATATCGCATTGATTGCGTGTGGAGGAGAAGATAACACAAGAACGTGTCTCGAATTTTTTGGGGTTTTTGCAATCGAGAGTTTGAGCTGATAGGGAAGCGAGTGATGCTCGCGAAACGGTACGACTGTCTTTTTCTCCGCCACCGGAAATGGCTGATTACAGCCGAGCCCTGGTTTCTTTTGATGTGATTTACGACCGACTACGCTTTGTCTTTTTTTGATCCATGCGGAATCGAATTTACTTGTTAACATTTCTTTTGATTGATAATGCATATCTACATTCAGAAGAGGTGATCATTCAAAGATTGGGCTCTGTTATCACGGATTACGCTAAAGAATACCTGTGTTACAAAAACATCAACTTGCGAAATTAGCCAATCAATTGAATATAATCGAATCAACTCCATAAGGTGCCACTACACGAAGGTCTCCGACTGTAATATCTTTATCTTCAAGTACACTTCCGTCCTCGCGAGGTTTTTGGCGTTACAATTTTGGTATGGCTTTTGTAAATATTATCGTTTCCTGATGCTGTTTCCGGCATCCAGATTTGACTGGGGGGTTATTTAATTTGCTTTTTTTTTTCTTCTTCTGATAGCTCCGTGAGCTCTATGTTAAACAAGTTCTGTTTAAAGAGATTGTCTATAGGTTCACGGGCCAATTGCTAAAAATGTATAAAATTTTATCCTTGGATCTGTTCATGCCTACGTTTTTACGCACACAAGAGGTGCAGACGTGTGAAAGACAGATTGCAGCTGACATCGAAACACATCGCCCACCAACATGTACTGGCCACATGCAAGTATAATATTTGACATAATTTACAGTATTGACGATAAAAAAAAGTCCTGAGCATGCACGCAATCGACTCTCCACGGTTATGTAGGACTCCAGAACTGATTTGGCCCATCGCAGGCATCTCTACATTGCTTGTGAAAACAAACAAAACAAAAAAATTCATTTATTTCCGACAAAAAACAAGCAAGTTGGTAAATATCCCACCAGACTAAGGGTACATAATCCTGTGAAAGGTTGCAGACATCTATTTTCAACACGCTGGCGGTGATACAAAGGGAAATTTGACTAAGACAACTAAATTAGCGACGGGTAGTTCAGAGTTCAAAGGGCACTTACCCGTTGGTAGGTAGAAAACGGCTACTTAGTCTTGCTGATCGAAAAACTATCTGGAATAAAGTGCAGTTATGAATGTGAAGATTTTCTAAGATGTCTATCGTTTTTCCTTTTATACCAACTAAAATTAATCTTGACTATTTTTTATCTCTCGTCACGCGACATGGACAGACATGTACTGGACCGGACAACAAAGGTGCACTGGGTGTTGTTTGTCCAAGTCCCATTGCCCCGACTGGTTCTTGGAATTCGGATCAAAATCCGCGCATTGACAAGTAACGGCTACCCGCTGTTCTTTTGTTCAACCAGTGTTTTTTTCCACCGGTGTTTTTTTTCCTTCAATAATATCGAGCAGAAATTATACGTGGGAAATTAGCTTGCGATTCCGGGGAAAGAATGCCGCTTTTCGCTTTTAACCGTTTCCTTCTTTGCGCCCTCTACCCAATTGAAAGAATCGTCAGATCGTAAGTTATCGAGGGAGAACGCGGCAAAAACAGGTACTCTCTCTCTTCCACGACCTTATTTCTGTTGCGTGCAGAGAAATGAAGGTAACTTTTAATGAAGTTCAGAAATTCCTGATTGAAAAGTTTGAAAGTGTTAAGGGGTCACAAAACGGAACACACAACGGAAGAATAGGACGAGAAGACCCGCGCTTGGAATATCCTGTCAGAGGGGCGGGAAACGCTATAGAAATAACCTCTATTGTGCAGAGCGAAGACTAGCTTTGCATAAAAGAATCCTCGAGGAATGATGGCCATGGATACTTGAGTTTGGAAGCGAGTTATGGTAGTGAACTAAATCTACACGGATGCCCCTCCCCGTTACTCTAGGGCTTGAAGCGTGAAAGCACAATACAACTGGTTTCAATCTTCCGATGATAGCATCAAGGAAAAACCCTGACTCTTCCTCTTGAGCAAGTGAATTGGTTTACAGCCGAATTATGCTCTCTAGAAAGCTTGCCAAATTCTGCACAAATTTAATGATATTTCAGAAATCTGCAAGAAGTATTTTTTGAAAAGCCAGATCTTTCTGATGCGTACTTTACGCTAGTTAATGAGCATGTAATTTTCTTAATAGGCGAACTAAAAGGTGATCTGCATTCGATTTCTTTGTACATTCACAATTTTGTCCATAACTTTTTTCGGCTGACGGCAAAATTTCAAATATGTCCTGGATTGTAGGGTGATCTCGGCTTGGTTAGGTTAGTCAACAACAACAACAACAATTTTATTAGGTACTTCCATAAGTAGTACATGGCATTACCTAAGTAAGAATAAGTAACAATAATTATTTAACATCATTTCGTCTTTAACAGAACTTCTTGTCTGATATTCATTATTTGGAATATAAAAGCAGAAATGAGTCTACATATCAGCTGTATTAAAAAGGAATAACACTTTAGAGTTATGATCAAAGTTTTCAAAGCAAGGATACTTTCTTGCGATTTTGTAGTCCGAGAGGGAATGTTGTTGGAAACAGTAACTGACCTTTCGACTTCTACTGAGCGGAAATCACCAATAGACTTCCTGTCATAGTTTACAGTCCAGTAGCAATTACACAACACAAGCTATTTAAGGGTTCAAACCATTCACAGTATTTGGATCGTCCTGTGGTGTTCTTTAGAATTCAACTTCTTCACAAGAACGTCAAGAACCATACAGGTCCTAAACGGGGATTAGATGCGCCTTACTCAAGACAGGGGGTTCATACGGAGAAGTGGACGTTGGCTTTTGCCCTTTTCACCCTGAACCGGGACACAAAACTTTCTTTTTAGGAGCCGCTTTTTGGTCTCGTCCGGCCAAACAACAAATGCAAAAGAGATGTAAGTAAACACAGCCGAACTGAACAACATCTAAATCGCGACTCCGCCGCGCATAACAGACTGATAGGTGTTTATTGCACGAGGTTAGTTATAGCAAATTCAAACCAGGCAGCGACTCGTCAGTCAACGAAAGATAATTTTCAGCCGGCAAGATACTAAGTCCATCAGTTGTCGGCATCCTTGAAATCCTCCCATGGCTGAGAGGGTATTATTGAATAAAAGCAAATTAAAAAGCTTTTCCGGATGCGGTAGGTCTTATTTATGCCGGATATCTTATAAGGAAGAAAAAATGTTAAACGCGCTGTTTTGCGTCTAGCCAACTAAGGACAAGTTAGGTTGTTTTCTTTTGTTGGGTGAAAATTTTGTCACGGCCTCAGCAGGGCTTGAAAACTGTCGTTTTCTCTTATAAAAGCCGATCAATATTCCAGGTTCTGCCCCAAACAGGTTCGGGATTTCAGAAGCCTTACGGCTACAGTGGCGACATTAGACATATAGAAGGACTCCAAAAGTCAGATCCGACCTTTGAAGGGAGCCCATAGCCGAACAAGGAGCTATTCAACTCAACTGGCTTTACCTCAGCTAAAGTCGGATGTGGGAGTGGCAGTCCTTACCACATTGAGAGCAGACAGGAGCTCTTAGGGCAGATGTGGCTGGTATTGGGGTGATCTCCCAACGTGCTTTCCTTCCGTTTGGTTGTGTTTACTTTGGCCAGGCTCAAGATCTTCTCCTCGCCTAACATCAGCTGTTTTTGTTTAGCACACTGCGTCACCTTCCAGATCAGTGTCGATGTTCAGAACTTTTGTATCGCTTTAATATCGCGCAGCACGTCCAATCAACAGTTCTTTTGTCAGAGGCTTGCCAAGCCAACATAGCCCTTTTTTTTTTCTCTGAATAACGAGTACAGGGTGGAAAGAACTTCACGTGTTAGGGCTAAGGTACTTGACGACCCGTCACGTGTTGACGTTGAGGATACAGGGAAGGCAGGAGAGTCAAATATAGTGAGTCATCCTGAACTATTTAGCATCATTCACGTCTGTAGATCAAACTTAGGAAGAATAACCCTCCTTTGCTGGGAATATGATGATGATGTAAAAGATTGATGGTCTGATTGCAGGATTTCCCTCGGCGAGCTGGTTTCTAGTTTTAGAAGTCTGAGTCTTATCCTGGCCGGGTCATTGTGTTTTCTTAAACAACTCTCATCATGCTGAGTTCCACCTACTCCACCCACAGTACCACTCACTCCAGCCAGAGTGCTACCCACTCCACCCAGCAGGAGTATAAATGGCTATAGGCAAACTGTGGAGGAAACATGACATGTTTGGGGAAGGATCATCCCCGGGTACCCCTCCCACGTGTGACTTACCCTTAGTGCTCGCTCCGTGCTTACTTCAGCTCGCGCGAAAAAACAAAAAATAATGATAATGAGAAACTAAAACTGAAACAAACGAAAATATTGCTTTTTTCTGGGTGTCGATAGCCACGTAAGTCAACTCTCAGGGGTCACCAGTTCCCTGAGGGTAAAGGTGGGAAACTGGTTCCGCATATATCCACAAAACACTAACAGTATATTGTCAACGTACGCCTGTTATTTCCACATCCTGATACTTGGAATTTATTACCAACGCTTGCACCGTTTCAACAGTTTTCGGTCACGAAAAGGCACCCTGTTCAAGAGGCTAAAAACACCTCCAAAGCCGCAACACGTCTAGTGATCAGTAACTGTGAAGATAAGAGTAACTTCCCTCCTTCCTCCTGAGACTTGAACCTCACCTAGATTTCTTGGCTTGCATCCATGCATATTTGAAAAAATATTTTGCCCTGGAGTAATAAAGCCTTAGTCTTTGCATTATATTGACCTCAAGTGGAAAGTATCTTAGTTCTTTATTCCTACAATTCGGCTGCAAGTTATGGACATTTTCTGGAGATAGGGACAGACCAGGTGTAAACAATACCCACATTCAAGGGGAACTACTAAGGATGAGGTTAATTGTAGAGGTACTGAAGAAAATTACTAATATCTTCAATAATCAAACAATATTTCTTTATTATAAATGTTACATTTTGCTGATATTGTATAAAGTCATTCAAATATATCCACCTTCAAAAATTATATGAACATGTCAGTGCATGTGTTGATTTTGGAGAAAATAAAAGTCTAACAGAAAGATTTTGTATCCAGGGTACCCTATTGACATTGGATGTTTTTAGTGTGGAGTTTTCCTTTTTACATGCTGAATATGATATGAAAGTTTACCAGAACACTTTGACCATATGATATAGTGTTGTTACGATATACTCATCCATCAGAATCTGACCAATTGCACACCCACCCCTCCCCTAACTAAATGTTAACCCTACCTTGTTATCAGTGGACTGTTGTTGGCTTAAGGGAGAGAGGGTAGGTGCGCTGTTGCTCAGACACTGACAAAAATGCCTAATCTGTATGATTGATATGTTCGATATGGAGGCATGTGTCCTTGCTATTAACAATATCAAAAATAAAAAAAATGTAAATACTGGATTTCATGAAGTTTACAAGGGCCCTTTCCACAGAAGGAATAAATATCATGTAGGCTTAGAAAATTGAACTTTATATGAATAAAAGAGAATTTGAATTGGGAATCAGTGCTCAAGGGAAGAAACTGTATCATAATCCAACTTCTTATTCCCTTGTCCATGCTGTCAATTCTAGGATTATTTTCTGACTCTTGATCTCTTTCTAAGGTCACCACTCAAAGCTAAACTTGTTCTTGCTTTTGTCCAGTTAGCACTTGATTTACGCCTGCTCTGGCGACTTGGTGGGGACACAGTACTTTGGCTGCTTTGAGGTCTGCTGAGATGTTCTGGGAACAAAGCCAAAACAACTGTAGAGATTATTAATTAAACCTACAGCCATAGTAGAACTATTCTAATGCCTTTAAAGAAAGATGTAAGCTTGTGGGCTCTTCACTGGAGGTATAGCTAAAGGGGGAAAGGAAAGGTGGCTTGGGGGGTGGTGTACTGAACCACAGATTGACCAGTCCAGACCACAAGCCCTGCCTCATCCTGGTTCTATGTCATTGAACAAGACATTCAACTATGACAGTGCCTTTCTCCTCCTGATAGTATGAACAGGTTCCAGCAAATTGTCAGAGGAACCTTAAAAAATGCTGGTAACGTTACCTGTGATCAAGTAACATCTCGGCCAAGAGGAATAGTTATATTCCTAGTCACTGGATAGTGAAGAAACAGGAAATAAGCACTGCTGCAATTTTGGACAACTTGGCCTCAACTATCTAATCCTAGCTACAAAGGAATCCTAAGGTGCAAGTTTACTTTCTACTGTCATTGAACATTAAATTTATCCACCCTTTTTACTGCCAGGAGTGACCATAATAGATTTCCTCTCAAAATACTAACATCCTTTCGATCAAAAGGATAAAGTGACAACAGAAAAATAGCATTTAGGGAAAATTGCTTAATTCAACACCTAATTCTTGATGCAAAAGATCATTAGGAAAGCAAAGATGTTTGTTTATATATTTAGATTTTCAGAGGGTCAATGAAACTACTACTCTCTGTTTGTCATGAAATAAAAAGGATGTCAAGACTTACGCAGAAAAGATGATGTTATTGTCTTGATGTCATTTAGTAGGGGAGTGTATGTTTCTTCTCCTTCTTTTCCTTGAGATGAAAAGAAAATAGAAAGGGAAAAAAAACATTAAAAGGAAACTGCAAAATGTATTGCATAATCATACAATCCCCTGGCAGTTATTGGATCAGACAATCCAAATTAAAGCCTTAACCAAGGTCAAAATATTGTCTTCTTCAGCACGACACAATGGCCTCAAAGTTCTTCTCCACCCAGGGATATATCTGGGTACCTTACTTTCACTAAACTATTACCTCTTAAGATTTTCCTAAAGAAAATATTAAATTCAAGGGCTAAGAAATCATTTTTTCCTTCCGGTCACCCTCCTAGTTTTCCACAACTATTATATAGGGTAACATTTAGCAAACAAGGATCAGCAAACAATATCTGATTGACAATTTAAAGGCATCAGGCCATTTGAAAGTGGTGTAAGGAATAAAGCTTTTTTTCACTTTTGATTCAATGTTAAATTCTCCTCTTGTTTCACAAGAGAATAAAAGAGAATTTGCATGAAAGATTTAAGAGTCCATCAGAAACACTTTGAGTATTTTGAGCAACTCTTTCAATTTTGTTTCTATTATATTATGAACCGTAGCTGTTCAAGTCCTCAATGGATAAAATAAATGAGTAAATAAATAAATAAATGAATGGATAAATAATTTTAAAAATAAAGCTACAGATTAAGAAACAAGATTTTATTCCTAGTAAATCTCGAGATTTGGTTGCGTGTGGCCAGATGTGTCATGTAAAAGAAAACAAAGTTTCATGAATATAAAATATTTCAACTAAGGGTGAATACCACGATAAATATAAGTTTATGGATATGATATTATGCGACACTTACTATCAACTTTGATGAGGATAAATGAGTGCCTCGCTTTTAGATGCTGTGTAGCGTAATCGCCTTTATGTTCAAGCAAATTTTTCAGATTACCCGACTCATCTGACAAGTCGATTACCTCTGAAACACAAACCCGTGTTGAGCATTAAACAACAAGCAAACAGTTTATCATCAAACAACACACCAAAGTCAATAAAGCACAAATGAGCAAGCACACACGGAAAACAAAACGAAATCTCTAATCACCTTCTCTATCTCGTCGACACCTTTTCTTAATGTCCTCCAGAAGAACCTTTGTCAAACAGTTTGGGTTAAAGAGAGCTTCTTGACAGTCTAAACATATAAAAACGACGAGTCATTGAGTTAATTTCCAGAGAAGTTGAGTGACTAATATATACTGTATGTCGGAAACATCGCCAAGGAAATTCCGATGGGTTGACTAAGAATCGCGCCAATTCGGACTACACCTACCTCCAAATCTCACCGTGATAAACATCTTGATTTAAGGAAGTTCAAATAAATAAATTTTAAAGAAACAAGTTCACTTTTTCATAACACAGCACATTTTTTGTATTGTTTTGATCTTTGATCTGCGCTTTGTGTTGGAATGTTGTTAAGTCGGCTTTGTCATCATTCAAGCGAACAACAATTTAGCTATTGTTTGACAATTACTGTGCCATGGAGACTGCGAAGTTAATCCAGGACAAACAAAAGGCGCTCAGAGAGGGCCTTTGACCTCTTTGCGCTCTTCGTGGTGGAATGAATGCGTTTGAAACCGTTACTGATCCCTCTTGCGTCACACCGAAGTGAGGCCGTCACGAGAACCAACTTACCCTTATCGAAAAAAAAAAAAAAAACACAAAATGGCAAAAACAAAAAAGAAAACAAACCAACAAACGGACAGACAGATTATCCAAAATCCGTGAGGTTTATTTGAAACGTCCGATCGTCGTGTCTGAAGAATTTTACAAAGCTGCGAAATGAGCTCGTTTCAAATGGAGCAAGACTTCATGGAAAGTAGGCTTTTGTACATTATGCTAGCATTTTTTCGAGCATTTTAGTGAGGCAAAAACATTGAGCATTATTCGAGCATTTTAGTGGCATTTTCCCGGAAAATTAATTTTTTCCGAGAAAATAAAATAGTAATTAAATTTGTTCAGTCCCGCTTCCAATTCACGAAAAAACCTAATACAGCTGAGTGGAGACTGAGGACAAGTCAGCGGTTTTACCTTTCAAGACTCAAAAGGCGGCCATGTTTGTTTTCTTCGTGATCGCCCGTGTAAGTTACACGGGTCACGAAGAAAACATAAACCTGTATACGTTGTCGTTACTTGCAACACTTGTACGTAAGTGTAAACTTTCAAACTGATTAAAAAAAACCTTTGTATAATGAGCATTATCCAAGCATTTTTGTAACTTTTTTGGGGGAGACCGAGCATTTTAGTGGGAAAAATGGAGCATTAAGGTGGAGCATTTTAGTGGGGAAACAAAAGCATAATGTTCAAAAGCCTAATGGAAAGGAAATGAACAAGTAAGGGACTGGTCATTTTTATCTGGAGGGGGGCTGGTGCAATGTAAAATATTCCATGCTTGATTTTTGCTGACCCCCCTTTTACTTTAACATGATTTTTTCCCATCCCCCCTTGTCCTAGGGCATACATGAAACAAAAAGTATCTATTTATCAAGTCACCATGTCCAACTGATAGACATTCTATTTAAAGCTACCTCAAATTTGGATTTGAGTTGCTCTTCGCCCAGCCCGTGTGTAGACAATTGTCGTAATGACATTAAAGTTCTCGGTGCTCTCAATCGTTTCTTCTTCTTCAGTCGACTCTTCTTCCTCTTCAGAGCTTGAAATACCAATCTCTGCAAGGACACAGTGTTCTTCCTCTGAGTCGTCTTCTGATTCACCACTGAGTGAATCAGAAGACGACTGATTGTTGCTCTTCCCATCCTCCTCTCTGTCAATGCGTTTAGCAAATTCTTGGATGATACTTTCTTTAATTGCTTCCAGCTTTGCCTTTTTTGTTCCATATTTTCCAAGGTTATGATGGTTATGTATAAAGCTATTTTAATAGGCTGTATTTGTTGATGGCATCCAGATGCAGCTTTTAACATTTTTCCTGGCAAAACGTTTGCATATTTTTAAAATACCCCCCCTTTACTGCCATGCATAAAAAATGGTGGCCCCTATTTGCACCAGCCCCCCTCCCGATAAATAATGACCTGTCCCTACTGAAAAAAAACTTCACGAAAGAAGTTATTAACTTGATCACGTTACCACGTTTTTTCTTTCTTAAAACCGAAAACAAATATTAATTTCAGATTTTTAGCCTGGGCTTACCAATCCCAATAGTTAAACAGAATAACAATACCAGTCTTTTAATAGCTAATCAGTATTTATCACTTGAAATTCACTGTTGAACATGCCTAGACTGCGTGCTAGTTTATCTCTCAAAGAATTTGTCGAAATATTCTTAGTTTGAGATACTTGAAAAAGCCAAACACTCTAAAAAAAATTGTATAACAAAATCTGTGATCAATCTTATAAAGGTGAAGCACTAGATATTTCTGCCTAGGAGATAGGCAGTGTTTAGAATGTCTTACCCATAGACATTAAATTAAGTTTGTCAGTTTCTGTTTTAAAGAAAAATTGTCCATTTCCTATTTTCATGCATTGATTTACTTATCATTTTTCGTATACCGTATTATATAACGTATTCGGCCTCTAACAGGGAGAGAGGTCGCTTATTTGAATAAGAGCGCTTAATCGAGGGGGGAGGGACGCTTTTCCTTTCAATGAATTGTAACTTTATTTTGGCTAAATGGGAAAACAGAAACTACAGCATTATCTGCCGTAGATGTTAAGTCAATATTTCAAAATATCTTTCGTTTGTTTAAACACAGGGGAAACATTTATATGCTTAAATGACGACAGGAAATAAGCCAAGAAGTATGACGAGAACGCAAGTGCAACTTTTAAAGTGAAGTATGTGCATTTAAGAGCCACAGATCGTAAACATCGTTCGAAAATCCGCCGACAGTTGCAAAGTCTCGTTATTCATTTTATTTCTCCCAAAGGACCCCTTTGACGAACCTTTGCCTAAAGCTCTATCAAAAAGTTCTATCGCACTTTGCTTTCTCCGAAAACTCGAAAAGTTAAAAATACGCCTAGACGGCCGCGGCTGTTCCCCACAACCCCGTAAAACAATGAAAAACTATGCCAGTTGCAACTTCGTACGCTGCAACGTGCATCGCGATACATTCCCGTTTTGAAATTTGGTGAGCTAGCAAATGATCACCCTGGTACCAGAGGTTCTCTTCTCTCTAAAAAAAATAGGATAAATCTCTTCTCCCTAAAATAATCGGCGCCAAGCGCCGACACCGAGCTGCGAGGCAGCGAGCAGTCGACAGAACAACAGCTGAATGCATCAAAGTGAGGTTCTCAACGGTCTCCACCTGAGGTTCTCTCGACTGCTCTTCGCAGCTCGTTGTCGGCGCTTGGCGCCGATTCTTTTAGGGAGAAGAGAACCTCTGGGACCAAGGGTAGCAAATGGTCCTTTCATCTTTTTGAAATTACATATTTCTTGTTATTTTGTGACGTTCAAGTGTGTCTTCTGGCAAATTAAAATAAAGGTAAACTTGAAAGGTCTCTAATAAGGTCTGGGACATGTATTTACAAATCATAATATACATTATCTTAAAGCTTTACCCTTGCAGTTTAATTAATTACTCAAATTTTCTATCTTGGCCCGCCATAAGCGGAGCGTCCAACGGACTATTGTGACAAAAATGAAACGCGGCACGCTAAACGGCCGTTGCGGCCTATTTAAAGGCCTATAAAAAGGTCTGGTATATATGTTTACATATCATACTATACATCTTTGTAAAGCTTTATCTTTGTAGTTCTGTACCTCAAATTTTCTTTCTTCGCCCGCCATAAGCGGCGCTTCCAGGCTGAAAAGCTTTCAGGCTATTTGGACAAAAACGCAATACGAACCGTTGAACCCAATACCTTTACTATCGTAGAAATTACTGGTCCCCAAAGGCTAGAGAACGGTCTAGTTGTGCCTGGGAAGTTAACGGCTTTTACCAAGAGCGCAGAAATAGGACAAAAATGAAAAGTACAGATAACGCACATAAAGGAACTCTGCAAGCACGTGGGGACGGAAATTATGGGAGTGGAAAATAAACTATTTTCCTGTACTGATTCCGCTGTAGTTGAAAATTAAAAATGTACATATAAAATGTTTTTTTTTTTTTTCGCCGTTTTTGGCTTTGGGAATGAACACCTACTCGAAGGAGGGCACTTTTTTTCGAGCAAGTGCGCTTATTCGAGGAAATATGGTTATACCGCTACAGAAATAAACAATGGTAATTGAACTGAGAGGAGTACAATTTGGGCTGAAATCATACGCGTGATTTCAAAAGCGAACGAGCGCGCAGCGCTAGTTCGATTTGAAATCACAAGTATGATTTCAGACCAAAATTGCACGACGTAAAGTTCAATTACCGCTTTATTACATCCATTTTGAAATCGCCTAAATCGGACTTGGTCAATTCAAATATTTTACTGATGCAGTACTGAGCCGGTTTTTAAATAAAAAGTGGAACCAGAAACGCTTTTACATCTTATTTTGTATGCAAAACAGAAAGACTGATGTCATGTGTCCAAAACTCAGTCAAGCGATTTAGAGCAAAAAATGGTGCGATTCGTGAATAAATCGCACCAATTAGAGCCAATCAGATTACCGGGACCACCAGTAATTTCAAAATGGATGTAATAAAGTTATTAATACTATCATCATTAAAGGGTGAAGCACCGATGAAAAGAAAGAAAGTAAGTCAGAAAAATGAAAAACAATTAAAAAAAAAAAAAACACCATGAGATCGAATTCCAATCAATTAAACGATCAATTTCACGAAGAGAATCATGTGACGACCAATTTTTACTCGACCGTGACAAGACAGGTTTCAGATGTGAGAGAACGACCTATTAAGTGAGGGAAGCGGGGTAGGGTCTCAAACTCAAAGATTATCCGACAACAGAATATAAATAAATCAATGATAGCGGACGAACATGCAATTTTATGGAGTTCATAAATATTGCAGTGACGCATAGTACACAGAGGGAACTAAGCAGGGTTTTAGGCAGACTAATGGTCAGCATTCGTAGAGAATCATAGATCAGTAATTAACACTACCCCTGCTGGTCAGATTTTTTTGTTTTCACCCGCTGCTTCCGCTGACATTGCCGCTGTCTCGAAAGTTTTTTCAAAGTCAGTTCCTATATTTGGACGATCTGGATCATTGTGATTTTTGCATATGCATCGTTCATAATTCCAGGACATTGACTCTGGTGATTCTCGACGGTGTTAAAAAGACAGACAGCTGATATAAGTCCATTCTCTCAAACACTTGCCTTCACCGGAACAAATATGTTTAACACGAGGACGATTCAATTTCGCAAAAGGCCCTTCCTTGCAATAGCTGGGCTTTCAATTTGTCTTATTCTTTGGATGGCACTTCGCTATCACACAACCTTGCCTATGGAAAAACGTGTATTAACGACAGAGAGAGGTCAATTCATGCTGGAGGGAAAACCGTTTCGTATTCTTAGTGGTTCGATTCACTATTTTAGAGTTGTACCAGAGTATTGGAGGGATCGACTTCTGAAGCTAAAAGCCATGGGATTGAACACGGTTGAAACGTACGTATTTTTTGTATATTTACTATTGTCATTGATATTGACAATCTTGGCTGAATTGAGGCAGTGTATATGACAAACTCATCTTTACAACCACGCAGTGTTAATTATTTAGCGAAGAAGGATATATTTAGTTCATTATTTCCTGTCCTTGTTCATTAATTATCTAACATACGTTCATATAACCTCTTCATTAATTGTTTTTCCTAGTTACGTCCCATGGAATCGTCATGAAGAAGTGAAAGGGCAATTTAACTTCAAAGGAATCTTGGATGTGGTGTGAGTGTTTATAATTGCATAATTAATGTTATGATTTTTTGTCTAAATTTCTTATCAAGTGCAGTTCCGCTGCACGCAAGGAATACTCTGGGTAACTCCTACTCGTTTTTTAGCGCAAATCTTCATTTATACCATCATTTATTTGTTGTTAGGAGCTCCTTTCAAGAAAAAAGTTCAGGCTTTAACTGTCAAGATTTAAATTCTAGCAAACTTTTTCCTTGACCTTCTTCACCTGTTTAAACCTCTAACTCCAAGAAGTGATTAACATGGAACTTCTCCCTACACTACCCATACTTGATTCAGCAAACAGGCAATGAGAATACTCAAACTCATCAGATAGAAGTTGGTGACTTGAACACCAAATGCCCATAGCTAATGGACACGGACAAGGATATGTGTAGAAGCTAGATGGAGAAATTAACAATTAGGATTTAAAAAAGTTAGCCTTATAGCTCAATACTCAATAGTCAACAGTTTAAAATTTTATGAGAATTTATATAAAGAGATAATTGAGCTTCATTTTAAACTTTTACTAAATTGCAGCAACTTTATCAATATAGCCCATTCACTTGGTTTATATGTGATTGTTCGTCCTGGACCCTATATCTGCGCTGAATGGGATCTTGGAGGACTGCCCAGGTAAAGAAATCAGTGAAAGAGTCATGTAGTACATTCTGGTAACATTATCATAATGATAAAATGCTTTGCAAAAATTCTTATTAACCCATGAACTCTCATAAGTGACCAAGAGAGAAATTCTCCTTACAAAATCAATACAATGTCAAGCAGACAAGTGATAAGTATTAAGAAAAATATCAGCTAAGAGGTTATTAATTGATCCAAGACCAAATTCTCCAAACTAACATTATAAGAATTATATGGCAAAAAGTAAGGTGAATTACCCATGAGAACTTGGGGAGTGAAAGAGTCAGTCAGTTAGCTCAATTGGTTAGAGCGGGGACTGTTGTGCAGGAGGTCGAGGGTTTGAGCCCCGGCCAGACCAACACTCAAGGTCTTAAAATAACTGAGGAGAATGCGCTACCTTTCTATAATATCAAGAAATGGATAGACATTCTAGTCTTCTCGGATAAGGACGAATAAACCTGAGGTCCTGTCTCCTGCATCTATTAATTAGTTAATTTGGTTAGGCAGGGGATGTTAAAGAACCCACTCACAAGATTACTGTGATGTGGTTTGGCCTGTTTACTGTTCCAGGCCTGTAGTAATTAGCATAAGGTGTTGCAGAGTCCCTGCCTGTCAGCAAAGCTAATAAAGTAAAATAAAATACTTGATGCCTCATTTACATGTAAGGTGGAACAAGGACTTTATTTTACAAAGCACTCGTACTCCCTATAAAACCTTTCTCAAGCTGAACCTCTTGCCCCCCTCAAAATTGTTCTCATAAAGCAAGACCCATTTCCCTGGAGCTTTATTTAGAAAAAGTTTCCCCACAAAAATAATTGGAAAAAATGTGATCACATTTCCAGGGGCTTTATTTTTCAGATTATTTTGAAGTAATTTTCTGTGACAATTGTTTTCCTTTAGTTGGCTGTTACATGATCCCAAGATGCAACTCAGATCCATGTACCCTCCATATCTCCATGCTGTGCGAACATATTTTAAGAAACTTCTTCCAAAACTTGTCCCACTTCAGGTGAATGTAACATATTTCACTTTAATTCTTTTTCACTTTGTATTTTATTGAATTGTACTAGTAATTATGAAATCACATACTTGAAATATTATTTCTTTATTCTTGATAAAGACATACTTTAAAACCATTTATGTCTAATTCACATTGTAATTAGTCAATCTGTTGTTTCTATCTTGGGTGGCAGATAGAAGAATTACTATTTTCAAACAGAAAGACAATCATCTTTCTTTAAAGAGTCACATCATTGAATAAAATCTGATTCTGATTGGCTAAGTGATATTGTTTTGCTTATACATATACATAACAATTAACTATAAATAATCCTGTTTTCTTTCTTTTCTTGTTTTTATTCAATTATGCGATTCAAGGAAAATCCATTACTTGACTCGTGAATTCCGAATTAAATTGCACTTGAAAACGGATATTGCACTCATCACTTTGTAATTCACACAATATCGGTTTTCTCATGCTATTTAATGCGGAATTCCCATGTCAAATAATGAATTTTCTTATAGAATTCTCTGACAGCAATTGAACACACTGGTATTTTGCCTTTGATTGAAATCATGACTGTTATTTTTAGTGGAGTGCTTTTATGTCAATTGTCCTCATATTTGAATTTTTGCCTCTCAGTTGATTGCTTTTTTTGTATTTTTTCCCTTTTAGTATTCTCATGGTGGTCCAATCATAGCTTTCCAAGTAGAAAATGAATATGGTAGCTTTGGTGATACAGATCTCAGCCCAGATTATATGGCTTATCTCAAGACAGTGAGAAACTGTATTTTATTTTAATTGTAATGATCAAGTCAATAGCAAAATAATTCACTTTTCTCAAATATTGTTATTAATTTGTACAAGGCTGGTATCCTGTGTTCTGATTGGTTACCTAGTCTGTCAAGATCGGTCAAGATTTCCCACCTTGATACCACTGAAAAAAAAAAAAAGGTTTTTTAGCCTTTTATTTACTATGTAAGTTCTCCTCTGGCAGTTTTTATTGCATAGGATTTGTAAAATATGTCCATGGTTAAGATAGCCAAAAGAGTAGCATCATTCTTCTAAACATTATTTGGTATTGTTTGGACAAGCAAGATCAATTTCCTTTTTGCATGTTTCCATGATTTCATCTTAAAAACATATTTTATAAAAGTCACCTTGGTCAATATCCATCCCTCTTGATCTCACACTTGGTCAATAACACATGTATTGATCTCACACTTGGTCAATAACATAATGTACTGATCACACACTTGGTCAATAACACAATGTATTGATCTCACATTTGGTCAATAACACATGTATTGATCTCACACTTGGTCAATAACCCTTGTATCTTGCTCAAACTTTGATATTAGGGTAGAGTTTTTCTTGTTGGAAGGGGAGAGGTTGTTGACTTGCAAAGAATTAGAGAAGTTGAGTTTCCTGTCTGCCAAAAGATTCATTAATTATTTTTATGCAATGTAGAGTGTGTTTCAAGTAATTTAGGCTACACAATGATTTTCTAGCTTATGGTTAATGAAGGAATCTCAGAGCTGTTGTTCACGTCAGATGGTGTATTCCAAATGGAGCAAAAATACTTTCCTGAGTTACCAGGAGGTGAGGAAAAAATTCTCAGCAAATGGTCTTAAAAACCTTATAATGTGCCTGTATACATCAGTTTGGAGGGCATTAGACAGCAGTCATAGGAAAAATTCAACAATGGCCTGTTTCTGTTCTATTTGTCTGCGTACACTTTTTCAGAATTAATGTGCAAACTATCATCTATACAAAACATCTATAAAACACAATGGGAATTTCAGAATTTGGTCTCTCTTTTATTTATCTATACTTTACTTTTCTTGAACATGTAGAGAAAAGAAGTTTGGTCATTCTAGAAAAATTTAGAATTAACTGTACTCCCATTTCTTTTACTCAAAATTCAGTTATAATTATATTTTGCAGTGTTGAAGACTGCAAACTTTCAGAGTAATGAGACTACTTGTCTTAACAGACTCAAGAAACTTCAGGTGAGTCTTACCATCTGTATCAGCAAATAGGGACCTTAAGAAACCACGACGGCGACGGCAACGAGGACGAGGAAAAACAAGAGATGTTGGCAGAACAATAGCTCAGCATGTGCGTTTTGAAACTTTGCACATTTCTTAGCCGTCCTATGCAAAACAACAATGTGAAATCGCCAAAATTTGCGTCGTCTGCGAACCGAAACCGCGACGGCGAATTATTTTAATTTCCATTTGGAACTTAACGGCTACTTTATACGTCATGCTGAAGTTGAGCTGTGGTGGTGTATGAGACAGTAAGCTCCTGCAGCCATTTTTGAAATTCTAACTAAGAGTAGAAGTTCGTTTTTTAATCGAAGTCTTCCTTGGTGTCGCCGTCGTGGTTTCTTAAGGTCCCTAATAGCATCCACTGGATGGTTTTTTCAACATTCAGAGCAAAGGTTGTCAACAGAGTTAAGTGAAGAGTTCTTTTGTCATGATTTCAAATATTTCAATGATAAGCTTTACCAAATAACTCTTGACTTTACTCTAGTGGTAAGCAAAATCATGGCCACTGATGTGCTTCAACTGTAATGGTTGCTGTATGTTATCTCTCACAGCCTGATAAACCATTAATGGTGGCAGAATTCTGGCCAGGTTGGTTTGATCATTGGGGAGAACAACACCACAAGATGGAAGCAGACAAGGTGGTCACCAGAGTATCCAACATACTCAAAATGGGAGCTTCTATCAACTTGTTCATGTTTCATGGTAAGTTCAACACAACTTACATGGTTCCTTGATTATGAGACAGTCAAAAGCTTTTTCACTAAATATATCTTATTAACCAAGCGC